ACTCCAAGCAAATGGTACATTTCCTAGCATAAACACATAGCCAGATGTGGATTTTCTATCCTCAACATCACTACACTAACTTGTGTCGGTGTATCCCACTAACTTGCATTTTTTCCCCACATCAGTTACAAGGAATAAAATTCCATAGTCGAGAGTTCATTTCAGATACCTTAGTATCCTCTTCGTCACTGCTAGGTGTAATACCTTTGACTTCTGCATGAATCTACTTATCATACCTACACTGTATGCTAGATTAAGCCTTGATTGACAAAGGGATCATTGACCCAATAAGTCTTCTATATTAGGTTTGGTCAATATCATCTTCATATGAATCTTTCGACAGTTGCAGTCTTGTCTCAGTTGGAGTCAAAGTTAGGTTGCAATCTTGCATCTCAAATCTCTTGAGTATTTCACCTACATATCTTCTTTGATGCATCATCAAGCCTCTAATGCTCTTGTAGAATTCGATACCAAGGAAGTATGATAGATTTCCCAAGTCTGACATTTCAAACTCCTCAGTTAGGTCATGTTTGAAGTCTTCAATCTCCTTCTTGCAACTTCCTGTTATCAACAGGCCATCAACATAAAGACATAGTATAAACAAAAAATTCACTATTGCTTCTCCTTACATATATTCCATGCTCAGTTATGCACTTCACAAATTTATTCTCCCTTAGAATGCTATCTATCTTCTTATTCCAAGCTCTTGGGGCTTGTTTAAGTCCATACAGGGCTTTATGCAACCTGTACACCTTTCTTTCTTCGCCTTGTTTCACAAATCCAGATGGCTGTGCGACATAAACTTCTTCATCTAAGGGGTCATTCAGGAATGCATAATTCACATCCATTTGGTATACCTACTAATTTTTCATGTTTGCTAGACCAACAACCAACCTGATTTTTTTGATCCTAGCAAAGGATACAAAAACTTCATCGAAGTCGATTCCTTCTTTCTAAAAAAAATCCTTTTGCTACAAGTTTTGCCTTGTGCCGAGTTACTTCTCCTTTGGGATTCAACATCACCTTGTATACCCATTTCACATCAATTTCCTTCTTGGCTTGAGGAAATTCGACAAGTGACCAAGTATTATTGACTTTGATGGACATCAGTTCCTCTATCATTGCTTTAACCCACTTTGAATCTTCCAATGCCTCAACTACATTGACCGGTTCGACATCTGCATAGAAAGCATAGTGTACCAGCTCACCTTTTTCATTGACCACATCATCTGATGTAATCACACATGTGTTATTCGTTGAGGTCTGTTTGGGCTTGCTTCACCTCATACTTCTTCTTGTCGAACTTCTCTTTCGACTTTACTAGCTGGTTCTTCACATAAGATTCTTACTAAATCCTTCTTAACATTCTCAGTCCAATCCCATTATTTAAGCTTATATATAATCACGTACTTGCTTGTTCACTGGGTCGAATAACTTGTATCCTCTAGTCGAATGATCCTATCAAGGTCATTTGACTCGACTTATCATCAAGTTTTCTTCTCAACTGACCTGGCACGTGTCTATGTGTTATAGATCCAAACACCTTCAAATGACTTAGGTTAGGCTTGACACCAAACCAACATTCTTTTGGCGTAATTCCTTCAAGCTTCTTCGTCGGGCATCTATTCAAGATGTATGTTGCAATCGACACAGCTTCTCCCCATAATTCTTTGGGTAGATGATTGCCTTTTAACATATTTCTCACCATATTCCTAATGGTTTCATTCTTCCTTTCTGCAGTACTATCCTGTTGTTGAGTGTAGGGTGGTACCACCTCATACACAATCCCTTCTTTCTCACATAATGCATCAAAATCTTTTGACACATACTCTCCACCACCATCAGTCCTTAAAATCTTTAGCTTTCAACCACTTTGTCTTTTGACCATATATTTAAATTTGGAAAATACCTCGATCACTTTAATTTTCTTCTTGATCAGGTAAGTCAATAATTTTTGACTAAAATCATCTATGAACGTGACAAAGTATATGTTACCTCCAATAGAATCCACCTAGATAGGACCACATACATCAAAGTATATGACTTCAAGAATTGCCTTCGACTTGCTTCTTGCATCCTTGCTGAAGCTATTCTTGTGTTGTTTCGGTTGAACACATTCTTCACACACTTCACTTGGAATGTCGATTTCTGCTAATCATGAAACCATATTTTTTCTTTTCAAATCTCTGATGTCTTTGAAGTTGAGATGGCCAAGTCTATAATGCCATATCCATTCATTTCTGCTGGCTGGAATTGCAAGGCACTTATGCTCTTTCACATTAAGTTCAATTTTGAAGGTTCTATTATGCGACATTGGTGCTATCAAGATTAACCTACCACCTGAGTCGAGGAATCTCATCATCTTGTCTTTGATCAACACCTTGTAGTTCTTTTCGACCAGATGCTTTATGCTTAGCAAATTACTCTTCATGTCTAGTATGTACAATACATTGGAAATTACTGACCTCTTGCCATCTTTCTTCATAATCAAAACATCACCAATACCTTCAGCTGCTAGAGTATTGTTATTTGCAAATTTCACCATGTTCTTGATTGAGGGCTTTATGTTGACAAAACAATCTTTTCTATCAGTCATGTGTGATGAGCATTCTGAGTCAAAGTACCATTGGTCCTGGAATCTTTCTTCATCTCTTTTTATGACCATCAACAACATCTATTCTTCTTCATGTTTCGCCACCTTTGCATCAATTTCTTGATTCTTCTTCTTTTTTGGACAATCACTAAAATAGTGACCATACTTTTGACAATTGTAACACTAAATGTGACCTTTGTCAGGTTTTCGACCACCACCTCTTCCTCTACCTGCAACACCACTTCTTTGATTTCCTTGGTTCCAGAGTTTTCTCTGATTCGACCAGTTTCCTTCTTGCTGATTGTGACCAGTAGAATTGTTGTAGCCTCCTCTGCCTTTGTTGCAATTCCAACTTTCTTTGCCTTTCTTTTCTTTTTCTGATTGTGCCTGCAAAGCCACATCACTCTTCGACTTTCCTGCAGCTCTTTCAGCCATTCATCTAATCCTATAAATAATTTTTGAAATTAAATTTTAGATAATATACTATTCATATATTATAATTATATACTGATATGAATTACAACACAAAAACTTATAAAAAAAAAGTTATAACAAGTAAAATGATAAATAAAAATGAATAAAATAAAACCCATGAAAAATGAAAGAAAGTTGAGTAAGACGCATAAAAATAATGGAGTTGTATTTAAAAAATATGATTTATTTTAATAAGATGTCAAATTAACATATAATATTTATTAAATAAAATGTATGATTATAATAAAAAATAAGGATAATTTTATCAAAATAACGAAATTTCTTTTTTACAACTCCTCTCTCCCCTCCCCTAAAATAATCCTTCAATTTAAAAGGAACGAAAAACTGTTCTAGAAAGAATTCAAATTCCTTTCCTTCTCATCTCATCCCCTCATACAAAAAAATTGAAATAAAAATAATTAATTTAAAATATTTCCTCGTCTTCTCTCCAAAAAACTTCAATCAAACCGATTTTAAATGTGTATATAAAATTATTTTACATTAATAATTTTTATTTAATATATATATATATATATATATATATATATATATATATATATATATATATATATATATATATATATATATATATATATATATATATATATATATATATATATATGGCATCAAAAATATAAAAAGAACGTGAAGATAAACATAATTACGAAAATAATATAAACAAATAAAAATAGAAGATCAATATTTTTCTAAACCTATTTGTCTCCTTAAGTTTTTTTTTTTAAGTTTCATTAAAATTATTCGTTAGTTTTTTACAAGATTTTACAAGATTAACCAACGAATATTTGAATCATAAATAAAACTTTTGTATAAATAGAACTTTTGTATATATTCGTTAGTTTTTTTGGATTTTTGCAAGTTGGATTTAAATGGAAGGATATGTCTGATTTCTACTCCTAAAAAAACATCAGTTACAGCACAATGCCATATAGAGCTTTTCAATCTCTTTTAATTACGATAATTCTCGTGAAAAAATAATTTAAAAGATAGAGTGAATGGAAAAGAAATAAAAAGATTTATTTATATTCTTCAATCTGGTATAAAATGAAAAAAAAAAAACTTCCTTTATATAAAAAAAAATAATCAATTGATTTTATCCATTACTAAAAGAACATTTATGACTTACAATTTTGATATCCCACCATCCTTTCAAAGTTTTGTTTTAGCTTTAAAAATAAAATTTTCTTTTTGTATTTCTAAAAGTAAATTTCATAGAACTGTTTTTCTTTTTTATATATTTTATTTTTAAACTTAAAAACTAATTTTAACATTCGATAAAATATATATTAAAATATAATCAAAATTACAAGTTTTTAAAAAAACTATATTTCAAAAATATTTTTTTAGAAAAAATTATTTGAAATAGGTAATTTTTTAAAATTTTAATATTCAAAAAAAAAGTTTTAATAAAATTATAAAATATATAAAGTAACATTTTAACAATAACTATTTAAATCAAATTTTTATTTAAAAATTTTCAAAACTTTTTTAACACAAAATTAAGTTACATTATAAAAATTATACGGACTCGAATCATATTTTTTTATATCATCCAAAAGAATCCATCACATTTTAAACAGTGTTACATTCTTATACAAGTAAGCACGGTATGTTGCTAGGTACAAAATACCTTTCTTTCTCTTTGCCTAAAATATTCCTAGAGGAAATTTTCCCTTTCACAAAATCATTTTGAATGTACATATTTAATTAAGCATAATTTTTGAATTGTTTGAAAGTATAATTCCATCATAAAGTACACTTCCAAGCCACATGCAACATTAGAAATGGTTAGTAGAAAAAACTGCTTAAGTCCTCTTATCCCAGTTTCATGGGTAGATCATCATTTAGGTTAACATCTCCTCCGGCCGCCGCACTTTATAGTGGCCGTAGGAGGTTGGATAACACTAATCACATTCTACGCCGGAAATTTTCCTACAATATTTCGAACATGTTTGTGACCATCCAATAAAGACCAGAAAAATATGGCCATGAGAGTGAAAACAAAGAAAACAAATATCATCATCGGGTTGCTCACGCTGTCAAGGAAACTACTCTTTGACTCGTGCTTTGTTCTTGAGAATCGAACGCGTTGTTGAGCATGCGTTGATTTTGGAACCCTTAATCGTATTCTCCGTTGGGCAGTGCCTTGGCATGGATGAGTCCGTGGAAGGTCATTCGGTCTTGTTTGAGCCCCTTGAGACATTGACGATTCATCTAGTTTTATGATATCGTTCTTTAGTATCTCCGCATAACAATCTTCTTCTTCCATCTATATGACAGTGCCACCATAAAGGGATAAGTAAGAACTAATGCTAAAAACTATGATGAATGAGACAAATATTCCAAATCAATTATGTTTACAGAATCACTTTTTCGTTTAACAGAATTCAAACATGAGGTTATACCTTTAGGTGCCCCGAAGAGTCTGTCAAAGTAGCGTCAGTAGCCGGTCGTTGATTAGATTCAGACACGGAATCAATTTGTTCCAATGAAGGCGAACCATAACTGCTGCTTCCCCGCTTGGAGCTACCATCAACCTCCTTTTCTTGTTCACAAGCGCCTATTTCCCGTTGATCAGTAGCGCCTTCTGAGACAGCGCAATCACTTTCATGTGAATGTACTTGGTTTATTTGACTTGACGAGGCTCTATTCGAAGAATCATTCAGACGGAACTCGGTGTTCCTCTTGAGGCGACAGACGACCAAAGAATCCTGAAACATATATAACAAACACAACATAGAATTTATGAATCACTTTTCTTTGTTACAATTCATATCGGGAGAAAGGACACATTCAGATGATGATTATTACCCACCGGAGACCTGTCACTGATGCAGTACTCATGCATAATCCATTCGGTTCTTTCGCCTTTCGGTGCACGACCTAAGTGAAACACCAAAGTTCGCTTCGTACCTATGACATTAGGACCTGATTTCACGTTACGCTCTTTTCCAGTGGCTTTCCAGTATCCACATTCAGTAGCTCTTTTACTCTGTGAACCGTTTGGATACTTCCGTCCACGGGGAGAGAAGAAGAACCACTCGTTATCTGATTGAATGAATGATTTGGCTGGTTTCGAACAAGTACTAATCAGTCAGTTTTTCAAAATTTCTGTTGAATTTATGGCACAAACAAAACCAGCTAATCAACAGCACAACCATTTATTTACCATCCCTCCAACAAACACAAAACAACACAAAGAAATTGAAACAAAAAAAGAAACAAGAAAAAGTGTTGTGTTATGTAACCTGGTAAATCCCAAGGCTCATATGTACAAAGCTCAACTTCAGAAATAACTTGAACACTTTCTTCATGACCATCCAACTTCTTCCTGAGGTAATAAGAAATCAACTCTTCGTCTGTAGGACAGAATCTGAAACCAGGAAACATAGAAGAGGCGGCAATAGACATATGAGCTTCTTTAGAAACGATTTCCATGGTGGTCACAGAATTGAATAGAATGAGAAAATAATAATATAATAATATAATAAGTTTGATTGTGATTGTTCTTTGCTTGGTTGGGGGTGACAAAGGAAGGTGGGATTGGAATGGGCAGGGTCGGCAAAGAATGAGTAAAGACAAAGAAGTGGAATGGTGAGGTTAAGGTTCGGTTCTTATCAATGTGTCATCCCCACGTGCTTCTCTGCTTTACTGCACACACTCCCACCGTTTCTTTCTTCACCTATTTTACTTTCTTTTCTTTTTTTTAATCATCTCTCACATTCACTTCATATTTATTTTCACCTCAATCCATAATTATGCAAGGACACACACACATTTGTTTTGACTTTTTTTTAAATGATTTTTATAATTTACATTTTTTTTTACGAAAGTACTTTTTATTAAAGTTTTTAATAAATATTTAATTTAAATAGTTTAGATATTTTACTATTTATTGAAATTTTTTTAAATATAAAAATTTCAGAAAAAATATTAATTTTAAAGCTATTTTAAATAGTATTTTATAAAATTATTTTTGAAATACAATTTTTTAAAAACAATGTGATTTCGACTATATTTTGATCTTCAATAATATATATTTATGTTATATAATGTCAAAAGTAGTCTTTCTATTTAAAAAAGCAAGTATAAAAAATCATAATATTTTAAAAAATATTTTTATGAAATTTTCTTTTAATTTTTTTTTAAAACTAAAACAAACAGCCAGAAATTATATGTAAAAAAATAATAAGAAATTTATGAAAAAAATTGGCGCATTAAATAATAGTCCTTTCGAACAATAGTTACATAGTCAAGCCGTCTCGTAATGGTTGCCTTGGCGAAAGAGAAGATTTTGCTAGTTAAAATTGATTTCAGATGTAAAAGTCGAGTCGGACAAAAAATGCACCTCATTAGAAACTTTTGTTTTTGAAAAGAGTAATTTTAAACTCATAATACTTTTAATTAAAATTAATTTATTAAATAAAAGAGTTATATAAAAAAATTAATTTATAGAACTAGAAACTAAAAATAGACTCAAAACCATTTTTTTTATCATTCTAACTTCAAACTAGTTGAACTATACAACCCGGACTAAATAGATCTATGTGGACACTGATATTATAATTTTGAATACATGAAAATTATAAATAAACCATTAAATATATATTTCTTTCTTTTTAAAGATTTAATATTGCTCCATTATTAAATTTAGATTCGAAATTAACCATCTAAACTTTACTGTTTGACACAAACTAGTTGGTGGCAAGAAAAGTGACTTTTTTAAAGCCCAAAAGACAAGGAAAGGCAAAACGATGCATAAAAGTTAGTCTTTACTTGCATCATACGTTAAACATTCAAACAAATAAATTAAGAATAAAATTGATAGAACCCATGTAAATTTCAATTAAAAATAAAATGTGCAATCCTTGTATAAATTTATGCATAAAACTTCAAGTTTGTTCCATTAAATCATTAAATTTGATAACTGTATAGAAATATTTGAGTGCTCGACTTTAAATTCAAATCTGCAATATTATATTTATTTGTTTTAGAGTTGAAATTCTGATCCTATCTTAATAAAAAACTTTAAGTAAATTTTGATAATTTGTTGGTATAAACAAAACTTTGTTTATGCTGAATATAAACTCTCCATGAAAGATAAATAATCACACAAGATCATAAACTAATAAAAGAAAATTCTCTATATATATGTTACTACCTTCTCAAAAATAAATCTCCTTTCATTTTCTTGGAGCACACTCTTTCTTCATTTCATATCCCTCCAAAGCCATAGCATTTTCCTCTGCTTCACCATCAATGCACCTCAAACTCAAAAGCTTACCATTTTCTTTAGCAGAATCAGGAAGTGATATATAATCTCCAATACTCATAATAGCCTTATAGCTATACCTCTCATTTTTCTTCTTTATGTTTATGTATTTCATCATCTCCAAAAACAATTTCAATTGATTTTCCACTTTCAAGATTGTGATCATAACTCTCTTCAATATTTAAACCAACAAAGTCCTTTTTAGAACTTTTGTTAGTTCCTTTGTTTAGGCAAATACTTCCCCAATCAGAAAAAGATCTTCTACCTATATCTTTATCAATTGAAACTCTTTTTGCTTCAAAATGTGGAATATTCTCACATGCGTAACTCCATTTGTAGCTTTTATTCTCATTGTCCATGTTCAATTCAATCGATTGAAGATCACTCTCACCCGACTCGTCTTCATTCTCTATTGAATCGTTCTCTTCCTCTAGATTTTGGAATTCAAAAAATGTCTCGTTTAGATATACTCCGAGATCCTTGAGCCTTTTAAGCCCTTGATCAACTTCAACTTCAACATTGTCATCGTTGTCGCCTTTCTCTCTTTCTTTTTTTCGAATAAGGCTTTCAAGTTCATTTCTAAGATTTTCAAGCATTGCATTTTTCTCTTCAAATTGATACTTTGCCTCCGAGAGCTTCATATGTACTCGTTCTTCGCGTAAAACATCCGCTAAATGAAGCATTTCCCTCTCCTTTTCGACTTCTTCTCGAACTTTCTCTGATTCCCTTTTCATATCCTCTACTTTTTCTCTATCTTCTCCGATTCCTTTGGCTAGTTCATCACAAACTTGTTCCAATATCTCTTTCGCCCTTTTCTCCCTTTCGTGCTCTTTCGACAGTTTTTCATAGGAAGCTTTTACCTTCTCTATTTCCTTGGAAATTTTCATGTTCATCCTCTCTGTCTGCTTTCTTAGCTTCTTCTCAATCTCAAGCTCCTGCGCTAGGCTCGTTGTGGCCTCGCGAATCTTCTCTCTTTCTCTTCTTTTCCAAACATTCTTCTCTTCTTCAAAATACTTCATGAGATACTCAACATCACTCTGATTCGAGCTTTGTTCTCGGACGAATTGCTCAATTTGGCTATGGACGTGATCGAGCTCGTTACTCATAGCCAAAATGAGAGGCATACTCCTCGATGAATGCTTCTCTTCAACAACCATTTGACTTAACACCTTTAGAAGCTTCTTCAATCCCGATAGCCCGTTTTTCGCTTCCTTAAGACGATTCTTGACTCCAACTTTGCATTTATCACAATCCTTCTTCTCTTTTGCCTTATTGTTTTCCTTCTGTATTAGTTTAGTTTCACCTTATTCAATTAGTAACAACTTAAATAACTTCTATATTTATATAACAAAGTTCGGAAAAAAATCACTTTTCAGATTCATCGCATAACTAATATATGATCCATATCTAAAAATGAAATTTTCTGCTCATAATAGTGATCAGAGGGAATATCAAAACATTTGGCGTAATTCGATCTAATCAACTTTATTCAAACACAATATATGAATTTAGTAATTTACCTCTGAGAAAAGCCTATTTGATGACAGATCCAAATCTAACTTCTGTGGTCCCAATAACATTGATCTACATAAGCTCTCAACTTTCTCTCCATCTCTATCCTTGTTGCTTTTCATTGATTCCTTCATGACCCTTGAAGGAGTTAAATCATTGATTTCCCATAATGTAGCAGCAAGTTTTCTAGCAGACACAGAAATTTCCTGCTCTTTAGAGACTAACCCGGAACGAAAAGAATGAAAAGCTGTGTTTTTTGTAACATGGTGACTATGATGATGATGATGAGTTGCCATAGAAGGTGATTTTGAACTTGTTTTCCAAATGGGTGCTGGTGTACTATACCCACTTTTCTTCCCTATCAAAATGGCTCTATTGAATCTGTATTTTCGCGAAAAGATAGACGAGGAAGATGTGGAAGAAGAACAACCCCGTTTTCTGATCTTGTTACGTTTCTGTTTAAGGTTTTGTGTTTGAGACAAGGACATAATGGAAATTCTGCGGGTCTCAAATTTGTAACTTGGTATATAAATTATGATGATTCTAATCAAAGTTTTTGAGAAAAGGTTTGCGGTTGCGATCTGGGCTAGTAATTTATAAAATTGTGGCCGGATCGCAACCACAATTTATAAAACATTGGACGAGGTAGAGGTAATGAAGTGTTTGGTTGTGGTCAGCATCATGGTCTTTTTCCAATGTTTTGGTAAGATGGAACTATTAGCATTGAATTTAGTGCAAAGTGTGTTTGTGAAAGATTTTGTATACTTGTTACTTTTGGTATTTGAATGTATAAAGGGATTTGAGGACCAAGAAAAAGTGGGAATCTGTCAAGGTATGATGGAAATGGAAGCTTTAAGTTGATTGAGAGGGAAAGAAAAAGGGAATAAGAGAATTATGAAAGTGAGTGAAGAAGAATGAGAAGAAGATGAAGAAAAAAAGTGGTCAATAGGTACATAGAAAATTTAAAATGTTATTAAATGGCAATGATTGTTTTGATGAATACAGTAGGTGTCATGAAGGAAAAAACAAAAATTCAAATAATGTCATGAAAGAAAGTTAATTGTGATTCAAATAATTGTTTTGATTGGAGGTTAGTGGAGGGATAGTAATTGATACATTGAATGTTCAATAATAGTGATTTAATAAGGGAGATTTCAATGATAATAATACCTAAACTTACCAATAATTGTAACACAAAATTAAATCTTTTTACTGTTCATTTAATACAGATTTAAAATGGAATTTTGACAACCTCAATAATTTGAAAAATATGGTTTTTCTTGTTGGTTTTTTTTAAGAGGTTTTCTTGTTGACAATCACATTATTGCATGATTTCCAAATCGACTAAATGTATGGAAGCCAAATACAATGTAAACTATTAAATTGACAAGTATTTATTAGACTGATATTGAGTAAAGTATGATGCATGCCCAACTTTGCCAACACACCTGAGCAAAATGTGTAGCAACGTCTTTCTTTTTATTATTTGTTACTATGTTTTACACTGTAAATGTATACGTTCGTTTTGTTATACATAGTGAATTTTTTATTTTTTTATAATCAAAACAAATTTAATGCATTTCATTAATCAAAATATACAATATCTATAAATATATAAAAAATATATGTTATTTTAGTGTGACTTATTTTATTA